CCCACTCAGTCTCAGGAGAGCCTCCAGTGGGGTCGCAAGTATGGGCCAGGTCGCCTCAGGTGGGTAGATGGGGAAGATCAGGGCTTCAGTGCCCAACTAATGAAGGTTCCATGAGTTTGGTGGGACTTGGACTTTGAGGGCCACCCTGTTAATGTGGGAGATCATTGTAGAAGTTCTCCGTATTTATATTCAAAGAATGTGTCGTAAGCCAAGAATGCCTGCCAGCCAAGAAAATTTGCTTGCCCACAGACAGTCAGAGTCTTAGGCCCTTAGGCCATTGGAGCGCACTTCCACAGCTGTAACAGCTTCGATAGTCGAACTGTTCTCCAGTAGCGCAGGGAGTCGGCGGAGGGAGTCGCGTTGCTGTGCTGAGGGAGTTGCAGACTGACAAGGAGGATCTTCAAGCTCGTCTGGTGAGGCCGGCGCACGATCCGGCATGAGGCTTGAGGTCTGTCCTCGAAACCGGTGAAACCTTGATTAAGGACATGTTGGCATTTCTTCGAGAAGACCAAGTTCAAATTTATATAGTTCAACAAAGACGCCCTACAAAGAGAAATTGAATGGAGATCTGATATGGACACGTGGCTCTATAATGCGCTGACTTGTTTCCTTTTCCTAACAATTTTTGGACGCACCTTTGTTTTGTGCAGTACCGATGATTCTTCCTGCGGGCGTATTGTGATGGGTCTTACAGTATCACTATCACTGTCACTCTATGCAGTTGTTAAGGGAGGATAGTACGGATTTCAGAATCTTACATGGATTTAATTTGTTCAGGTGTTGTTGATTGTTTTTGTATGTTTTCCTTCTCGGCCTAAACAGAGGCACATGGCCTTGAGAAGCTCTATTTTCCATGTCTATAGAGCCAAGCCGTAGTGTCGCTTAAACAGGCTGCAATTTCCTATGCTGCTATTCAGAAGATCCAACCGGTGGGTCGTTACAACAGATCAAACCGCAAAGGCCTGGTTTTGGAGGGAACGATTGCCGTAAGCAACCCACTGAACCCACTGGGCACCGGGCACCTTTGAGTCCAAATGAGAGGACCCACTAGTAGCTTCTTGTTACTCGTAGTAATGCCTGGAGCTACTAGTAGCGTCCTTGCTCCTACTAGCGGTGCCCTTTGTGCCTAGTAGCTTCTTGTTACTATATAGTAGGAATGGCCTCCACCCTAGTAGCGATGGCCTCCACCTAGTAACGGTCTTACAGGCCACCGCGGCCACGGTCCTCGTGTCAGGGAGTGCTCACAGTTGGAGGCGCGATTACAGGCGATGGCGACTCAGCTCGGACAACTCTGGACGTCCACCAACCAGGGGGCTTAGGCTTCGACCAGAGGATTCTGCTCACACAGGCTGGTATTTGTCCAGAAACAGGTCAAGCCGTGGATTGTCAGAGCAGCTTTAGTGGGGATGCCGCATTTGCCTGTTTGGCCATTTCTGGCTGAATCCACACCGAAAGGCTGCAACGCTGCACATTGTAAGATGTGGGAGAGTACCTTGAAGTCATGTTTGAGGGAAACATGATGGATGTGTTTGTTTCTTGTTCATTTTGTTGGAAGTTTGGCAAGGACGGAGTTCAATCGTGTCAACTTGAAGGGTGATACATTGTACAACATACAATTCCAGCGTGTTTTCTAGCCTGGTTGTTTGCTAGTATCGAGTATCGTGTAAGGCTTGTGACATTTTGGGATAATTCATGTCAGTTCATGACACTACATGAATTCCAAAGTCGGTGTCAGTGTCCCTTATTTCTCAACTTCAGAGTGTTTGGAGGAGGTCGTGTCACGGTCAGGCCTTGGAAAAGCGACAGTTGGAAGAAAGGCACTCCTGGGTCGAGGAGAGGGGCTTCCAAAATCAAAGAAGCTTCTATCGGTTCTCTCTCTCTCTCTCTCTCTCGCTCTCTCCCTATATATTGTAATATACCCCCCCATTGAGAAGGAACTCATATTTTTCTAGGATTTTTTTTCGTTTTTTTTTGGATTTTTTTTCACGTTTAGGCATTAGGTATCTCTGTTGGCTTCTGGTGGCTTCTGGTAGCTTTTGCTAGCTTCTGTTGGCTTTTGCTGGCTTCTGGTGGCTTTTACTGGCTTGTGGTGGCTTTTGTTGGCTTCTGTTGGATTTTGGTGGCTTCTGGTGGCTTTTGGTGGCTTCTGGTGGCTATTTTGTTGGCTTCTGGTGGCTATTTTGTTGGCTTCTGGTGGCTTTTGGTGGCTTCTGGTAGCTTTTGCTAGCTTCTGTTGGCTTTTGCTGGCTTTTGTTGGCTTCTGGTGGCTTCTGGTAGCTTTTGCTAGCTTCTGGTGGCTATTTTTGTCTGGCACGAAAGGATACCTGGAGAATCCCCTGTTGCTTGTGACGGAAGTCTTGGACGAAACGCTCGTTTTGGAGGAGTCCTATGTCACTTCTGGGGTCTCGCACGGAGAAACAACTATCATTTTGGAGACACGAGCCTGAGGGAAGGCGCCCACAACAGGACCAGAAAAAAAGTCCCCAAAAAAAACGGAAAAAATCCTTTTAAAAAAACGCGGCCCATTGAGAATGACTCCAGATCCAGAGGTTTTGTTTAATTGCTGGGTTCACCTTCTCACAAAAGGATAAACGTGTTATATATAGTTCTTGTCGTCTTCTCACAATGTTTGTTGGTTATTATTACATTACATGAAGTCAGTGGCTCACTAGAGATCCCTTTGAATCCGTGACCAGTCGCAAGATGTCGCAGGTGTGTTCCCGAAGTCTTTTGGGCGGTTATTGATGTACAGCGTTGAAAGGGTATTAAGCTGTTAGCCAAGAGGAGTCCACCCTTGTTCCGCTGAGGCCATGTTGTTTCAAACGGGGCCTCAAGTCTATATAGTGTTGCCCTTTCCAGGAGCGCACACGGATGGAGGAGCAGTGCCGTGAACAACTTGCGCAGCTGGAGACATGTGAGGTGCCAACGGCGAGGATGAAGTGGCTGAATGAATGGTCCCCTTTGGGACAGAGTTGTATGGACACCTCCTAGGCCCTAGATTGCAGGTACTGCTATTTGGGGGGAGATTCACCATCTTTGGGCCTTGCACCAATGTTTAAGCCACGGTCACTGGTCCTCCTTCCCACCCCAAACTTAAGTGTAGCAAGGGTGCGCCTGTACTGCATGCATGAGTCTGTATGTTGAGAAGCCCAAAGGCAACACGGCAACACTGAAACCAATTTGATGAACTTCTAGAACCCTTCCAGCTTGTGAATGCTTGACCTGGGTGACTGTCAGTGCGGGCACAGCTTCGAAAGCAGGTTTCAGACGTTCGTACCGAAGATGTTTGGACAATCACCACCAAACTCCTGGTGCCGAGTTTAGAAGATAACAAGATAAACATGAGAGAGGATAATTTTTTTTTTGGAGCTTGCTCCCTTGCTGAATCGATTTTTCGTGATGCGTGACTCGAGGCCGATTTTGAGACCTTGACGCGGGCGTCCTCGCTCACTGAGACGGCACTGAGCTCGAAGCTGGCGGAAACACAGAGCCTCACGAAGGCCGGGTTCGCCTGCACGAGCCGGTCGTTGCAGTCGGCGCGCCTACATGCCTCTACAAGCTGATGCGTAGAAGCGAGAGGTTCACCATACAAGGCTCAGGAAAAAGGTATGGCGGTATGACACTACCATGAATCACTTGAATGGTTTGAGACCACAAAATCCAGCAAACAACATCAAACAGCTCGACAACAACATCAAATAATATCAATTGCAATGATGTAAATGATTGTAAATGTATGTGTACATATATATATACAATGTTACAGGAACATTGTTTTATTATTATTATTTTTTAAAATCTGGGATCTCTTTTTCCTGCCATGTGTGGGATGTGTTATTTTCTTTAATCCGGTATACTGTGTAGTGTTTTGCTTCTGCTCCCATTTCTGCTTTTGCTCCTGCTTCTGCTTTTGCTTATGGATTTGCTTCTGCTTTTGCTTTAGCTTTGGCGCCTCGGAAGCTACCTTGTCACAATCCTTTCGCTTTGATCGAAGATCGTGGAGGAAGGGGCCACCTGGCAGACCTTCTGTGAGCCAACCAAAGGTAAATTTTAGAGGAAGGAGCATGATGCCGCATACCTTCCGTGAGCCACCCGAGGGTAAATTTACAGGCAGCCGCCGTTCCAACGTAGCATGCCTGTTGTATCCTGTTGTGCAGTACACGAGGGCAACGTTTAGAGGAGGAAGGAGCCATTCATAGGCATTGCAATGCTGCATGTCTTTCGCGAGCCACCATTTGTGAGTCACCCGATGGTAAAATTTAGGGCAGGCATCAGCCGTTCCAACGTAGTGCACCTTCTGTGAGCCACGCGAGGGCAACATTTAGAGGAGGAAGAGGCAAGAGGCCATTCCAATGTGGCAAGAGGCCATACCTTCTGTGCGTTTGTTTGTTTGTCTCGGTGTGTCTGGGCTCGTCTAGGAGTGGACCTCCCAACGTGCATTGAGCCAAAACAGCGCGTGGAGCATGTTATCACAAGCGTGTCATTGAGGGAGTCGGCCTAACCGGAACATGGAGTCGGCCTATCCTTGCTCTCGCCTTGCACTGATACAGATAGTCAGTAACGTTGAAGAGACAAACGCCCGAGGACCAAATCTAGAGGAGGCAGGAGCTTGTTTGTGAGCCACCCGCCGATAGAATTTGGGCGGAAAGGGCCATTAGCAAACCTTTGGTGAGCTGCCCAAGGGTATAAAACAAATTGAAGAGGAAGGAACCGTTCCAACGTAGCGTAGCCCAATTTAGAGCAGGAAGGACCCACTCCACTGTAGCAGACCACTAGTGAGCCAGAGGAGGGCAAAATCATGCAAACTCCCTTTTCCCCTTGCTCCTTCTCCTTTGCACTCTTGTCCTCTCTCCCTGTTCCTCCCTCCCTCCCTTTTGCTTATCTTTCTCCTGCTCCTTTTGCTCTTAAAAATCCCACAAATGGCCGGACAAGAATCCACAAAAAAAAATAATATATATTCACCCTTTGTTACACGGCATCCTCATCGCTTCGCGCCATCCATGAAGGTCGTCCACGAGCTGCAGCGCCAGGCGCGTGAGGCCAAGGATGCCTTGGCAGCAGCTGTGGCTTGACAAAAGTTTGCAGAACGGGAAAAATAAGCAGGTTTGGTGGTGTTTAGATGTGTTCAGTATGTTTTTTGTTTGTCCATGTTTGAACATTTCTGTTCTTCAAATGTCGAGGATGGGGATCCAGGGTTTGCACAATTTTGCCCTGTTTTGTTATTGCCTTCTAGTTGTAGTTACAGTTTATCTTTCAAGTTCCTTTTGTTGCGTTTGTACAGTGGATCTCGATCTCGAAGGTTCATGTAAGGGTTGGAGGTTTGTACAAAAGCTGCGAAATCGTAATTGTTCCTAGGCAAGAATAGTTCGGTCTCGTTTCCAATGTGTCCAAAGGCGCCCTATACTTTGCAAAACTGGTGACCGCTTGGAGATCCCAGACCTTCAGGAACCTGTGTGGGTGGTTTGCTTTGAGGTCAGCAGCAACGACCATTTGAAGGAGCAGTTGCATGAACAACAAGCTCGCTTGGAGGAGAAAGTTGGCTGTGAGTGCAGAGATTTGGCTCTCACATGCAACAAAGTGACATGGGGCCCAGCAATTTCAAGTGACATTGCAGGCAAAGAGAAAGAGCACGTTGAAAACTCAAGCGCAGTCAATAATCAGCACTTTACGTAGCTGTCATTTGTTTTTACAACTTAACGGTAGCCGTGGTAGCTACATGGCGTGGTTCATTGTGTTTGTTCAGAGACGTCCGCAATTGCATGCAATTGCCCCCCCCGAACTGTCCAAAAATGTGAATCCTGTTGCATCTATGTTTTGCCCGTTGTAGGCCGTTGCCAAAAGGTGGAATATAGTTTTCACCGTGGAATGAACAGATGACCCTTTTGGTTCAACCCAGTTGGCCGTTCCGCGGCCAAGATTTGCAGGAGAAGAGCGGCCAAGATCTGCAGGAGTGTGCTGGCCCCGGGTGTTGAGGTGGCTGATAGGTGCGTTTGGTGATTTTCGGATCGCTTGATTTAGAGACCACAAGGCCTGGTCACTTGTTTGATCTTGTTTGGTTTGTGGGTGTTTGGAACGATCTTAGAAGTGCCTTTAAAAAACCTTGAAGGCACGGAGACAGTTGACGCATCAGGCCAGGGTCTCTACATTCTATTGTGGTTGTTTAACCTTGGTATGATCAATTGCAATGGCCACATCCAATGACGACTATATAATACATACAGTATACAGTACATACATATTAGCCATACTTTCGTTTGCGGCAACAACAACAACACTAGGCCACTTCGTTTCCACGCCTCGTTCCAGCTCCATGTCGTTCCATTCCGTTGAGGCCAAGAACCCTTTGAGGAGCGTTTGGTGGAGGTGAAACGACAGGCTGAGGCCGGCAGTCGAACAGGATCTTGGCCTCACAGTCGAACAGGATCTTGGCCTCAGCCTGTCACGCACGAAGGTCGGAAGAAGTGCGACCCTCCGTGAAAGCGGACGTGAAAAACAATGTTGTGTTGAAGTCATTCCAACTTACTAGCGATGGCCTCCAACCTAGTAGCGTCCTTGCTCCTAGTAGCGATGCCCTTTGTTATATATATACTAGTAACTTCTTGTTCCTAGTAGTAAGGCCAGGAGCCCCTAGTAGCATCATTGTTCCTAGTAGCGATGCCAGGAGCCCCTAGTAGCGTTCTTGTTAAAGGATATGTGTCCTTCTTAGGGCTATTGTCCAATTTTATTGTAGGGTTGTTCGAGTATGTGTCAAGTACGCCCATCCCATGCCATCCCCATCCCAGAATTGGTTTCAATATGTTTGAAGCCTCAAGCAGGTTTTACCCGGGGTGATGTGAACAGACGAAGTCTTGGAACAGTTGGATTCTTGCATATTTTTCAGTAAACAATTTCTCGAGACACACAATTCATTTTCCCAAGCTTTGGGAAGCAAACGGCAAACTTTTCAAGCACACACTTGTCGGTGGACCAGGGAGTTTGCAAACATGTGTGATTTTAATTAGACTTTGCACTATCAGCATGTGTCATGTGGGGAAAACCACGACATTATTTTATATCCAGTCGTTGCGCAACCGGATCACTTGCTATACCATGAACCGGACTCAACCGACGGCCGACCGACGACAGGTCCAGACATTCCCCGCCCACCCACAGTCGCATCGCTTCAGGCGGAAGTGGCACTCACCAACAAACAGATTGAGGCGAAGATAAGATCCACCGGGCGAAGTGCTTGTTCCACCTACTCACGTGGTGGTGGAACTTGGAACTCAAAAAATGTGTTTGAGACTCAGGGACTCAAGGCCTTGTGGATTTGCGTCAAACCGCATGGAGTTCTTTCCCGTCAACAGTTCACTGCGGTGTAGGTGCAAATTATATTTATGTATCTATATATATACAATTCTATATCATCATCGCCCACATTTGGGACGATTGTGGGGACGCGTCATGGGGACCCGTCATGGTTATTGTGCGACCGTGTGCAGTAAATGGAACCTTTGGCGACACATTCAGAGGGTTGCACGGACGTTCGGGGCGTTGCCAGGCCATGGACGGCGAGGTGCAAGAATGTGACCAGGACCGAGCAACGGTCGCAAAGAGAGGAAAGAAGGCATTTCTTGCGGAAAGGAGTTCCCAGAATCTCAGAATCCTTGAGCTGTGCACTGTGGACGTCATCTCGCCATATCAGTCTCAGTAGGAATGGGTCCATGTTGGTCAGATTCGTGTCGAAAAGATTGAAGCGTCTAATTGCCAATGATCTTGGAAAAGCACGTGATCACCCTTCGAAGCCGGAAACGACCACTTTTTGAACCGATGACAAGCAGAGCCCACAGTCAGGTCTTAACAGAATGGAATGAGGAAACCACACCCTCTCTTTACAGTGTGTGTTTCAAGACTCAGCATTGGAAATGCAATAGTGTATCACATTTTCTCCCACTACCCTCATGGAATGTCAGTTTGGCTCACACAGTTGAGCATGAGACCACCCCTGGATACCCCTGGTGTATGTATACAGGAATCCGAACTTGCTGACACTTTTGGTCTATTGAGTTGTCTCAGATCTCCCTTTGTTCTGACAAAGATGAAGCAGCAAGGAGCTCGTCAGACTTCTGACTGAGCAGGAGGTGCCAATCTGCGGGAATTGGAGCCACCATGAGTCGCCAGAAGAACGTGTTGAGCTTTTCTTCCTCCGACGTGCCTTGTGTTTGTGTTTATGCCTTTGTAGGCTTGATCCAATGTATTCTTATAGACACCTCTATATAGAGAACATGACATGCTTCGTTTGTGTTTCGATGCGCCTTTGAGTAACAATTCAGTAGGTCTGAATTGTCGCCCATTTCGGTTCGAATCTGGAGCGCCGCTCACGAGGCGTTGATGGATGAGGTGAAGCACCTGGCCGGGGACGCTTCCTTCTGGAGGCAACGAAGGAAGACGTGTCGGCTGCCGGTGAGTCTCGGCAAAGGTCCCACCGCAGAAAGGGGAGGCCTGGTAGGTTCTATGGATGTGTGCCCAAGTGAATGATACAGACAAGCGAATTGCATCCTTTACCATGTTGTGAAGATATTGGCAGTGATATTGGCGAGCGAATATGAATCACTGCACCTTTCCAAGAGCAGCCTAGCTCGGTTATGTCGGTGCAGTTGGCGTCGGTCTTGCAATTTCTGTGAATATTGTTTTTTTTGAACATGAGTTTCTGTGAATCGGGAGAGTCGGATGCCTTAGTTGTATTCCACTCTTGCAAAAAAGAACTGAGCCTTGTTGCTAAGAGGCTAGGTCCAGGAAGGGAACCTCACTCTCAGTACAAGATGTGTTTGCCCCCTGAACACGCATTGCATTCTTGGGATTTGCTGAGAGTATGTTTGCTTCAGTCCACACCTACCACTACCGCCTGTCCACGCCCTATCCACCCACCAGGTCCTCTTGGGATGCTGAGAATGCGAACCGAGAGGAGCGGGGGTTTAGTGACTGTGGCTCGTGGCTCACCGACAAGCCTCGGATGAGGAATTCTTACGACAAAAGCTCCTGTGGACTCCTGTGGCGCTGTGAGTTTGTATTGTGTGTGTGTGTTTGTGTGTTTTGAAACATTCTTACTGTATGTTCTTTCAACAAGCTGTAAATTGGATATATCATATATCAGATTTGTAAGTTCGTACGGGTGGTTGCTTTTTCGCGAATCAGGCCAATCGTTCAGCAATATTTGGTAGAAGAGGTCAGGATGAATGGTTTAAACAGTTGATGTTGCCCCATCCTGGTAGTCGACGAGCTCTGATAAATCTGATGTTTAAGGAGGGGTTCTTGCACGTGCTCAGCTGTCAAAGATAAGTAATCTCCGAGGCAGTTTCCCGCAACAGGAGGATTTATCATGGTTGATCCCTTTCCATCCCCTCAGCAATGTTTGTTGAATGAAAGCTTGGCTTGATGTACGCTTGATATATCTTGATATAGATGTGGCTCAGACAATACAACCCAGGTCTTAGACCAGTTTCCTTGCCTCCAAGGGTTTGGATGGTACCCTATGTTCAAGCCATAGCCATTCGGCGTTTCATGCGCCGTATCGGGTCGATCGTACGGGAGCTTGCGGCTTCATCCGCCAGGCCCTCGAGAATGAGATGAATGCTGCGAAGCACCATTTCAATGGCGAGTTGCTGACGTTGGAGGCGCTGTGAGACCCTGCGAAGCTGTTGAAGTGCTGAACAGGTGTTTCAAACAGCCTTTTCTACCAGTCGGGAATGGCACCGCACCACTACTCTAAACACCACTCAATTACACACATTACACTCCCCCAGTTTCAAACAGCCTCTTCACCCAAGGGATTGGAGAAGCACCTCTTGCACTTCTGCCATGAGGGTGGCTCCCAGAAGTTACAAGTAGAGTATACCACTGCAGTCCAAGGGGTTTATACATGCCTAGTATATGCATGTGTATGCCCTACCACTAGCTTGTGGGTTTTGGGAGTGTTCAAACATATTTGGAGGTCGACCTGAGCGATTTGGAGGTCGTCATGGTCGTGGGATTTTGTGGGATTTCGTGGGTCTATTTCAACTAATCAGACTTGAAATATGTCATGTATTGAGACAAGTCATGAGACCCACCCCGGTGGATCACCCATTTTCGTCTATGCCACAACGGAATGGCCGCCCACCAGCGGGGGTGCAATGCACGTCTTCGTTCGTGAGACCGACTGCGAGCGCATCGCGGTGAACAACGAGGATTTGGAGCAGGAGATTCGAGATCTCTCAGGCACCTTTCAGGGCTGGTAGGAGGATTTGTCATCAAGTCAACAGCATATGAACAACTCCAACCAGGTTGAGTCATCTTGAGTCCGCTGTCTTGAATCCTTCGAGCCATGGCTTTTGGACATTTCGGGGCGGCTCAGTGTTCTTCACACTCTCCTTCTCAACTGACTACACAGACGTTCGATCACTTTACGTTCAAAAGGAGTGATCGAGGACCGCCCAAAGCCAGGGCGCCTGTCACACTTCCCGCTTTGTTTGGAGGCGAAGCGCAGCAGAAGCGCCGGCTCATGGTGAGTGCCGAGCTCGGACGGGCTCATGGTATAATTGAGGAGCCAAGTTCAGAGATAGGAGGGGAAGCCCTTTGCCCAAAAGATCAGAAACCAACTTATTCCGAATATATATTGTTAAATTCTGGGATTCTTCTATCATCGAAGAACCCGACTTTCAATGTAAATTGGAGGATGGCTCAGGCGAGACTGCGAGACAAAACACATCAGCACGCCAACCTTCACTCCTCCATGGGGCTGATGGTTTCAACTCTGGGAAACAACATAGGTAATATCAGACAGAATGATGCTAGGATGGTGATCCTGCGTGTGTGAATGTTTGCCTGGAACTTGACATGACATAGTGAACATTTGTGAACATGGAGGGAACGTTTTGCCCTTTGTGGTTCACTTTCTCGACAACCCAAAGCGCTTGGAGAAGACGAGGATGATGAGGATGCGAACGAGCTGCTGGGTTCTGTTCGAACCCGCGTGCTGTTGTGAAGCCAAGGTCGCGAAGGCGAGAGCAGCGCCCGGCAGGCCATTGGGCGGGTGTGGACAAAGAATGAGTAAAAATAAGATCCCCTGTAAAATGTCCTCTACAAATTGGGTCAATATTGGAAATGACCATGTTGTACTGTTGTAGAGATAATATTGGTTTTCAATCACTGTCCTGGGTGTTCCTGATTTGTAGAGTTTTTGCCGATGTTAGCAAAAACATGATTTGCAAGGCAGGGTCCATTTTATAGAAGCAATTTATATATATACTTGTTGATATGTTTCCGTTGACTCGAGCATGTGCACCCACCCACCATAATTTGGTAGAGGGTTAGAACCCATTTTAGACGGTTGCTTAAGCATCTTTCTTGGAGGGGTTGCTTTATAAGAGTGCACTTTTCTGATAAATTCCGTGAGCCCCAACCCAATATTATAGACTTAAGGTTTCTATCCTGGGGGGCTTGATTGTATAGATGGATTGGTTGGTTTGGACCTGGGGTGAGGCATTTGCAGATACAAAATGCCCTCCTGGAGTTGTCGTGTGAATTGTACAGGGGATAAAAAGAGATTCCAAAGTCCGAAAAAAGGCTAGAATTCCCTCAAAATGAACTTTAACAATGTCCGCTTTGCGTCCTGTAGTAGTTGGTTCATGTTGTTGGTGTAACTACTCTGGTTGAGTTGAAGGCCAGGTGTGCCAGCTCGCTTCCAGCGCTCCCAGGCGGCTGCCGAGGCACACCTCAAAGAGTCCCAGGCGAGGTGAACCGAGAAAGAGGGAGAGAGGCGGAGTGGGAAGGATGGGGAGGTGGTTTCTTCTCAAATTGCCAATGTTACTGACCAAGTTTAACATGTTGACAGATGACACAAGAAGCTAAAGTGATTTTGGCAAGTGAAGAAGCAATTGAATTTTGAGGTAGATGTGGAGCCAAGCTTTACACCAGATTTCCCAGGGCTGGTAGGTCAAATAACAGGTAGGTATGGGTCGAACAGACCCGTGCCATAAGACTAAGGAGGACACTTGGGCCACTTGGGTTCGTCATCCAGTTTCAACAGGCTCATTGTGTTCCATTCAAGTTTTAGGTTGCCTACGTACAAAATCTTGCATTCTGCTGCAGGTTACTGTGCCCAGAGATCTCGCGGGTTAATAACGCTGCTAGTCATTCTATAGCATGGGCGTGGAAAATGGATCTTTCTGAGATCAGCTTCAGCTTCCCTGGGCAAGCAGCGCTGAGCCACCCAGGAGTTGCTGGGCTTTTGCCAGCAGCGCTTGCGGGACGCGGCGGAGCAGCGGGTCGGCGGAACCCAGAAGGAGAAGGGTGAGTGAGCCCAGGTAAGTTGGACTCTGAGATACGTATTCCCAGTGATAGCTGGTCAGACTTGGTATGTAATCATTCCGTTTTTTGAGTTTTTTGACATCAAACTTGGCGAACAAAAATGCTATTGTCATTATCATCATCGATTGGGAGAGGATTGGCCCAAGGCCCAAGGCAAACCGCTTCTTCATTGTTGTTCTTTGTTTGTGGAGCATTAGACCCTAGATTCCGGGTCTATGGCCAGGGTGCTTGCTATGTTCCATGAAACCAACTTGCTGCTTCTTTGTCAGCTGTTTGCGTAGTGTGGCATGCGTGGAGATACTGTACCACCGTGAAGAAGTAACATCACGACACCAAACATGGAGCCAAACTCACCGAAACCGTTTCGCATGGAACGCTAAGCCCGCTTTCGCTACGCTAAACAAGATCATGCGATCGGGTCAGTTCGGCCTGGAATGTTGGAGTGTCCGATGTCCCCAGCTCTGGTATGGAAACTGGTGTGGCTCAACAATATGCTCGCTTGGTCCTTGAAGATCCTTGAAGATTCAGGTGTGACCCACCCCTACTGTATATTATTGTTTGAACTCCGGAGATGGCTAGAAGATGCTAGAATTTGGACCCATCATGTGTTTCAATATATGAACGTATATATAATATATATATATAGTGATCTACATGTTTCAACCGTTCCATCCCGTTCCCATATTCGCAAACCGAGCGGCAACTTCCGATTTCAGAGTTTTCCGGAAAACGCTGCAGTGCCTGTACAGGTACCCTCAGCTCGATTTGACCTCGTGTTTCCCCCTTGGAGACACCGAAACCAAACCGAAGCCAGCCCAGGCCCGCGCCACGGCGGACGCCGAAGGGCGGCAGAAAGCGCAGGAGGTGATTTCGGTCTTGGAGCGGAACTTGGCGACTCAGGCAGGGGAAGGACGCTACGAATGGAGCAAAGGGCATTTCGGCATTTCTACTAGGAGCAAGACGCTACGTGGGCCGTTTGGCGATTCGGCTTCCAGAATCGAGACAGAGGAGACTCCGACATATCCACAGATGTGATTTCCGCTTCCAGTGGTCCAGGTCAACAAGCTGGGTTTCTTGGAGGTGACAGGGTTGCTGAGTAAGAGTTTTGGGATTGTGATAATGAAAGACGGTTCCCACTGCGATGATGGGAAGGAGCCGCAGGTGCTCATGCTACAGTCATGGCATGAGGGGTTGTCTCAAAATAGGGGGAGCAGCATTAAACTAAACTCCATAAAACCTCGGTGCTGGAGAAAGTGAATGATTCGATTTTGCGTTGGTTGGGCCACTGTGTGCGGTGTGCCAGCTGCCCACACACCACTTGATTTGGTTACTGTAATTGAAACTTCAACTTTTGTTGTTTGCATACAGAGATAGAGACAGACGCAATTTGGAAGACTTGTGATTAGAAGCAATGTGTCAACTATATGACCATATGATGCCATATGTATACGCGCCTACAGAAGTTTTGCGGTACCATTTCAAGAGGATTCGCTTTCTATTGAGGTCTCAGCAGTAAGACGAGTCTGTACTTCGGGGAGGATAGACTTTCACTCAAGCTAACTCCGGATGCGCCACTGCAGGTGCAAGCGCGCTTCACCATGCGAGAGCGCTATGGCACCATGCTGGAGAATGAGCGGCAACTGCATGAGCAGGCCACGCAGACTGTGACTAGAGACCAATAATGGTTTTAAACGGGTACGTCAATGAATCAATGAAGGGACCACCAAGACAATGAGTTTTTGTTGTCCCTTTACTGTGAGGCCAAGAATTACAGTAGGTGCAAGGGTCAATGTGTTGTTGGTGAATAAGCGTGTGTCATGGGGTGTAATGAAATAGGGAAACCTTCGAGTTCGACCCCTTCCCAAAGTCTCCACATTATCAGTCTATCCATTGGACCAAAGCGGTCGCCTATTGTCAAAATACACTCCCAAATCGTTTACTGTATGTCTACAGCTTAGATTATGCTGCATGGTGCCCAACAAGGACCTTCTAAATGTGTAGAAAACCACACAGCTTGCTGCTGCAAAAGGTTGGCAGGAGCAGTGGGTGGGCATCTACCACACAATTCGCCTCGTGGCCCAGACGCCAAAAAGCATTCGATTTTGGAAGACACAGCGTTGAGAAGGTTTGGTTGTTCAGCGCACTGAACGCAGGCCAAGCAAGAGTGCGATCGCGATAGCGTGTTGGCCACTTCTTTGACGAGGCAAGCCCGGATACATCGTGCGGATGAATGGGGATGTGCTGGCCCTGATGCATGTAGACATATGATGACATATGTAGACCATCTCACCAGTCACCAGCTCTTGTTGGCACTATATAAGTTATACTATGTCACAAAGATGGACTCAGACTCAACTTACTTTGTTAAGTAAGACATTTGAGTCCGACCAAGAGTCAGTATAGCAAGCCACAAAAGGGTCAAAAGGATTTTAAAGGATTGATATACTTCGGAGTACCACGTGGTGGCTCTACGCAAGATGTTTGGTAACTCTCTCTCACTCTCTCTCTCTCTCTCACTCTCTCTCTCTCTCTCTCTCGCTCTCTCGTCCCGTTGTTTGCCTGCCTGCCTGCCGGTCTGTGGTGTGGGAAGATTTTCACGACACTCGGAAGAAGCTTAAGAAAGAGCTCTTTCGGTCGAGTGACCAGGTCTTGGAATATGGATGGAAATCTCGGGGACTATGCAGGACTACCAAGCAAGACTGGAACACATCTTTCCAGCAAGGCCAACCCATGAGACCCACGAGGTCAATGCGCATCCAGAGTGTTTGGAGCTCAACTGAACCTCCTTTGCTGCACCTCCGGACGACACGGCGCTCCGGACAAGGCAAGCGAGGGATGAGCGCCGTGTGCGTGTGGAAGGCCCCCCCGCTCGGCGGCGGCGACCGTCGGGCGGTGAGTCATGAAATTCAAGTCATCCTCCCAATGGTGTTGGAGGCTAGTAGGTTGGAGGCCATCACTAGTAGTTTTTTGATGTCACTGATTTGGCCGTGAGCATAGTTGTTCCACTTTCGTGATGAAATGTTTGGAACATGCGGAACATGGATCATTTTCATTTTCAAGCTGCCTTCAGGAAACACTCGTTGTTTCAGGTTTCATGTTGTTTCTCCTTCATTTTTTGGTGAACAGAAGTGACCTGCTTTCGTGGGCTTTCACAGTCCCGGCAAAACACGATTGGAGGTGCTGGGTTGAGAGCTGCAGCCGGTTAAGAGACCAGCGCATTCTTCAGAACTAACACTTTCTGGTTGAAGACGATTCCTGCTACTGTACCCCTTGTTTGATAAAGGATGATAAAGAACAACACAGGGTGGAGTTACAGGAAGAAGTCTATTGGCGCCTGTAAGGATTTATATAGGTTAAATATGTATGTGTATGTACTTGTAGCTGTTTGCATGCCAGTGATGCATTTTTAAGTGGATTTATATACTTATGGTTGCCAGCAAGAAGCATCCAATGGCTGGTCGGATTCATCCAGTCAAGGCAATGTCAAAATTTTGGGGTTTCAACGATATTTGACTGGCCAGCCGTGGAGCATGGACTTTGGAAAAGTGCCGATGTGAGAGTAACATGCAACTTTGAGCAGCTGGCCGCTTAACTTCACCACCTTGAGTTAGGAGTTAGGATTTTGCACATGTGATACAAATTTCATTGATTCCAGCTATTGTGTCAACAGTGGGCAGCTTCAGCTGTAATGACTGTAATGACGACATTTTGTTCTACACGTGATTCATGGTGGTAAAGCAAAAGCTTGCCAGACAATTGGTGTTTGCTGATAATCAGTTTCGCAGAGTTCCCGCAAGAGACTGCTGTAAGTTTCCTAAACGTGTTCTCAATGTTTTTCATGGACAACCTTGCAACCGTGTAGTTGTTGTCCCCGCATACCCCACTCACTGGACCTAGACAAAGTGAGGGTGGTCTCATCAGCATGATCACAACTCTGAATATGGCCAGGGATGGAAAGGGAGCGCTCCAAAATTGAGGAGACACGGCAGAGACCAGAAATCGCCAGAAATCTGACGTGGCAGGGACACGGCACTGACCACATGCCGCGTTTGAGAACATTTGAGTCATTTGAGCCACAATCGCTGGAACAACTCGTTGTCCGGGGCTGTGGACCACTCGTTCAGGGATTTCGACGAGGTGAAAGTTCAGGACTCCTCAACACGGTGAGGCAAAGACAGCTGAATGTCCCAGAGGCTCTGGGTGGTTGGAAAAAGAAATCCTGTTGAAATTGTTGAAAGCTGATTTTGCGGGTGTTGTGGTGTTTTTAAAGATGGCCTTAGTGTCATGTTGTGGGGTTTTTCAATCAGAGCAGAAATTCATGCAAAACCCAGTGAAAACCGAAAATGAGAGCAGACAGCGGCAGCAAAGGAAAGGCAAGATGCTGGGGGATGCTCTTCAGCTTTGCATTAACATTCACGGCATTGATTAGTGTCCATGCTATATATGCACAACCATCGACAACCCTTGATAGAGACATGCTACCTGCCAAAGGTCACCAAATGCAGAAACCGCTAGATTGAAATCTAAGATACATGAAACCGCTTGACAAATCAGTTATTTACCACAATTGTAAGGTTCTTCCAATGCCCATAGCGCGTGTTTTCTAGGAGACCCGAAGGGAGGAGCTCCTGCAGGGCCAGCAGGCAGCGTTGAGGGTTGTTTGGAAGCGTGGCCTTGCAGGATTTGTGTATCGATATTTTGTTGAACTTTGTTAGTAATCCCTGCAACATGTAGATAGAGAACCATTTTTTGTAGCGTGAACGGGCGTAAGTTCCTGATTTGAGGCATGACGTGGAAGTTGGTATGTGTAGAGCATGAGGCACGCTGCCGTTCGGTTTGGCTCATTCTAGATGGTGATTCAACATGGTGATAGCGTGGCCATGGTGATTTAACATCCGAACGACAAGAAATCAACACCAAAACGATCGTTTCTGCATATGTGGAGGCAAGAGCATATGCAGTTTCGAGTTTGGGCGGGAAGATGTGTTACATAGCGTGGCCATTTTCACTCTTGTCCGGGTGAATTTCCACGACATAGCGAGCTCCGCGCGGCGGAAGAACGAGCGTCCAAGCTGCATCATCGCAGTCAGCCATGGAAGCTATGCCCTTTGCTCCGTTCGTAGCGTCCTTGTTCCTAGTATATAGTAAGGCCAGGAGCCCCGTTCGTAGCGTCCTTGCTCCGTTCGTCGCGATGCCCTTTGCTCCGTTCGTAGGGTCCTTGTTCCTAGCCATGTTTGCATTCGGATGTTCCTAGCCACTTAATGGGCATAGTCAAATTTGGCCAACCCAAACATCGTCTCAAGAGGTGGCTTTTCAGCCCGACATTTTTCGAAGGAACCCTGATTAAAGAAGCACTATACGTCCGAGAACACCGACGCAACTTATGTTGGTTGAAAAACCGCTGGTATTGTGGTGGGCAAGAGTTGCCCATACGTTTTGGGCTTGACCAGATCACGGAACTTATTGCTTGGTGTAACAGTGTAATAATGAAATCTGGGACCGGGCTGTAAGATTATACAAGCATAGACCCCAAACAGCTTCAAAACGATTCGTTTAGACCAGTATTAGTCGAAAATCGATTTCTTGATGCGCCCGACTTTCACTCCAAGAGCAAACTGCTTCATGAATGAATTTTTTGTTGGCATTGACATCGCTATTTGTTCTCCACACTCCTCTCCAGTAAGCCGGGCCACAGAGACCAGCCACAGAGTTCAGGGGCGCGGCCAAGACAAGGACAAGAGGAGGACAAGACCCGGACACGGAGCCCAGCCACAGAGTTCAGGGCCCAGCCAAGACAAGGACAAGAGGAGAGCGCCCTGCTCTCTTTCTTTCTTTCTTTCTTTCTTTCTGTCTCTCTCTCTCTCTCTCTCTCTCTGTCTCTCTCTCTCT